GGGGGGGGGGGGGGGGGGGGGGGGGGGGGGGGGGGGGGGGGGGGGGGGGGCAGAGGGCGATGAACGGCCAGCGAGCAAACGAGCGAGCGAGATGCAGAAGCGCGCGACCAAGGGAGCGGAACGGAGAGCAGGGCCAGGCGAAAGAGAGTAGCGACTGAGTAACCATTTCTCTCTAGTGGTTATTTGTAGACAGATTCGACACTCCGACAATGCAGCGAATATCATAATAGGGCCACGGCACGGAGGGGCCTCCCGCTACGGCGAGAGGGGGCCCCCAGCCACCCCGTCGGAGATTACGACGCCCATCAGGTATTTGTTGTAGATCTCAGGTCGACCCCGAGCACGGGGAGGTGTGAAAGTGACGGTAAAGCCTCGCGGAATCTTTTTAAAATCAGGACACGCCATTGTTGCGGTAAGAAGTTTTCGAGGCTTTCGCCGCGTCCCTGCGCTCGATCTCCTCTTCCGGCCGATGACGGATCATGGGCTCTTAGCTGCTTAAGGACCCGAGATCTCGCGAAGGAAAAGCATGAAACGGGCCCCAAAAAGAGAGAGAGAGAGAGAGAGTGAGAGAGGAAAAGAGAGAGGGGGAGAGGAAAAGGGGGGGAAAATAGCGAAAGAAACAGAAAGCGGGCATTGTGGGGATCATCGCGCGGAATGGCGCGCGGCTCGTGCATCGACGAATCGCGCTCTGATTTGTTTACCCCGTCGTTTCGGCTAGCGCCGAAAAATCAACAAATATTTGTAACATCGATCGTCAGCCGGTAAGGGCTTTATTTGGTTAAGGGGATCCGTTTTCAGCATTTTTACGAGCGACTCGGCTCAATAGTAGTTAGCAGCAAGCTAGTGTTTTTATCTATGATATCGTGTGATTTCGTAACCAATTTATCCTTTCGCGGAAGTTTTGTCGGGCCGCTGATTTTTGCACATTATATCGATTGGTCTAGCCGCGAGATCGGTGACCGTACACGCGTAATTGTCGTTAATTTCTTCACACGCGCTGCAAAACACGCTGTATACACGTCGGCCGATGGATCAACGTACGCGCATACGAGTCCGCTTAAAATGTCGCTCGCGTCTCGCCGTAACCCGTAATGAAGCCGCCCCTCTCGCGCCGATTTTCCGTTTGAAAATCGGCGTCTCGGTTTTCACGTGGGGTGCCGGTTCGGGGTTCACACGGGGGTTAATGAGAGGTTAGATATAACTTGCTATTCTGTGCCATAATGCGACACCAGCGTCCGTTTAATTTAAGTATATCCCGCGTATGGGACTTCAATGGGGGTGTGTCACGCGCGCCACCCTTGCGACCCCCGCAACGGGGGTATTATAACTTCATGGGAAAAACAAAATATTGTAGTAGCTGAGGGTCGTGGCATCTTTGTGCCTGGAAAGCAACGTAATACGCGCCGGCCAACAGACTTGATGCCGTCGAGAGTCTTACAATCACACAAGAAATAAACGAGTTGTAATTAAACCGTATCAATTGAATAATACACGGCTCTCATCCCGAATAAATGAGTGGAATTATTTACTCCCGGCGTAAAACCATACAATATGAGCGAGATCAAATTAAACAGCTTTCAACATCAAATTTAACAGCATAAAAAATATAATGCGAGCAAGATCAAAGAGTGTAACCAAGTGCGTAAAGGACACTGGCTTAAACTCAAGGCTAAAATGTTTTGGGCCTAAAAAGTTATAAAATAAAGTTTATAATATATTTGGTTATGGTTGTTTATAGCTGTAAGTTCCTCTCTAGAGAAAAGTACAGTTCCATTTTTAGTTAGATCAATCTTTTATTATCTATTAAAATAATGAAGATCAGACAGACACGTTTGGCGCGTATAAGCGCGGCTGTCAACGCAGAGAGCACTGGCGCTATCTTGTGGAAGTAGAATTTTCAATAGGCCATACCTCTCAAATCCGAGATCCGACCACTGTGACACTTGCATATTTTGTAATTTACGCACAAATTTTGTCAGCTCAAAATGGTCTGAAAACTTTTTGGCCATGAATCTCTGGCCTATAGGCACTTGGTCGCACTCCTTACACGTGTCTTGAAAAAATATAAACATCAGCGTGCTATCGCGTGACGATCAATGCAAAATTTCCGAGCCGCCGATCGCTGCATTACCGGGCGCGGAATTCGCCGCGGAGGTTCTCCAAGGCGCACGAAAACGTCTCCACGGAGGTAGCCTCTGCCTGAATCGCGAGGCATCCGGGCCGGTATACATGGATATGTCAGGCGTCAGTGCCCTTACGAGGTACTAAGCCGCTTAGCACTATGGGGTTTATGTTGTGCCCGACGGGGTATCTACTAACTCCATAGAACTTATATAGGGGGCCCGCACCCCGCCTACCGACGCATTATCTTATCCTCCATCCCCCACGCATGCTTCCATCACGACGACGTTCGGCCGAATCCGGCGAAACGTCAGAATCCGCGACGGAGTTCTCGACACCCACGCGCCGGCTGCCACGGAAATTACGTTTCGCGTCGCGTACGCGTTATTATTATTAATTGTTCCGCGATTCGGTCAACGATCGAAACGCGGCGCGACGCTCAATTATCGCGAAACGGATTAAACGATCGTCATAATGTACGCAGTCGCCACTAGATAAATAATACATGAAAACCTATCGAGGTGCTTAAAATTGCATCCAGGTTGTTGGGTGCGTTTCAGCGCACGCGAGCGTGGCGAAAATTCGATAATGGGTTTCGCGCGCGCACCCATCAAAATCAACGCGACAGATATGCACAGGCTTGTATCTTCATTTCTCAAGCGACGACTATCGGTGCGTAAGGAGTCCAGATGAAAAATCGCTTAATCTCATTGACACATTGTTAGTGCAATTTGTACACAAAACAGCTTCCCCTCACGGCAACGAGCTCCTCTTAACAACGCGGCTGAGAACGCCGCGCGCGCGGAACACTCTGACGAGGGTATTACGCAAAACTGTATCGGCTTTTCCGTGTTTTGATTTCACCCGGAGACCGCGAGGCTGAAGGGGAAGAGGCTAACGGAGGAGGAGGAGGAGGAGGAAGAGGAGAAAGAGAGACAGAGAGTGGCCGATGGAGCGGCAGCGCGTCGGGAACGAAGAGGACAGATACTTAGCCGAGGACTAACAACAGGCCGCGGATTAAAGGGGGCGAAATGTTATTATTGCAAGGGGTACGTCTGCGCCCCCGTGAGTACTAAGTAGCCCGGTTAAGTATGTTGTTTAAGCCAACACTGTAAGTAACCATCCCCCGGAGAAATTGCCGTGACGGCATTGCGACAAAGTCCAAACTCCGCCACGCCGATGGAAATACTTTGCGGAGTGCCTCCGGCCAGATGGGCCCCGCTCTCGTCCCGCGTGGCTCTCGCGTTTTCAGCGAGCTCGCGATGGAAGAGGCTCCTCCAAGTTACGCTCGTCATGATACGAGCGCGCGACGGTAAGAAGGCGGCCAAGTGTCACGGAACTTCGGTCCTCAGTGCGCGCGAAAGCGGGTTACGGCTCTTCGCTCGCAAGCTCGGCTCATCGCTCTAAATGTTCGCGAGGATGGAAGATCACGGAATGATGGGAAATGAATTCGCGAGAGAGCGAGTTTTGGGCCTCAAACAGGGTCGGAAGAAAATTTGCGGAGCTTCCACGTTTCCAAGGAGTAACTCGCGATGATAAACGTTACACCAGCGACCTAGTCGTCGTCGATACGATTTTATGCTTCTTTTGAGCACATAACGAGGAACTTTTCTCAAACATAAGTCATGAGTACATTTCAAGAAAATATTCCTTGTTGAGGATAACCATTACTTAAAAGAAGGAGAATAATTGAGTAATCGCTTTTCTCAGCAGTAGAATATTGTTCTGTGAGTGCCTAATTTTGGACAATCTTATTGTTTCGGTCTTTAAACGCGAATATTTAAACGTAGGATATACTTATATTTTGTTTTCTGGTGAATTTAAATAATCGTATTTAAAGATCAAACAAGTAAAAATGTCTATAATTGTAGGTATTTGTCCGGGCATTGGGGGCACTTTTACCTTACATGACGACGGATCGCGCGTTATCGTTATGTTAAACGTATGCGAGAACGACGTATGCGAGAAAATTACAACCCGCTCCGACTCGGCGGTGAGCGTAATCTCGGCGGAATCGAGAGCGGTTTTTACAGATGCAGCTAGAAGGAGATTATACCTATTTTTGATTCAGCAAATTTCAATCTACGCGAGCGAGGTGGCCGCGTGCTCGCGCGTGGCTGAATTCAGTGAATAATTTCGCTACCTCCCCGTCCCTCCCCCGCCAAGTGATTGCAGTTTCTAAAACGCAGAGTCTTTGTGCGACGAGGGAATGACAAATGCACTTCCTTGAGCCGAGATTAAAATACGATATTGCCGCTATTAGGCCCGGGTTTTGAGCCTTTGCTCGCGATAGAACGGTAACAGACGTATAATTTCCTGGAAGCTTTGAATTGAACGGCTCTCTCGCTCCGCCGGGGCGAGTGAGACGAGTGTAACCGGCTTTCAAAGCTTTGAGGGTGAGGAAGCTCATTAACGAGAGCTTTCTGTTCCTTCGTTTCGACCCGTTACTCCGACGTACACCTTCCATCTACTACCCGATATCCTTTACGGAATACTGAGACTCCGACTTCCAGCCCTCGCCGGGCTTCGCTTTTACCGACGACAAACCGAATCCCTTACTTATGTAAATGCGAATTTCTCGACGATCGTGAAATTTCGCGAATCCATGACGCGACGCCGCGTTGAAACTCGTCGGAGGTAAAAATTGCTACGACGCTTTCGTCAAAAGGATACTCAGCGAAATCTAACGCAGATGGCCACTAAAAGAGAAAAATAGTTGATCTAAACCTATAGTTATTTTACGCTCCCATCTTATTTTTTGGTTGTTCCAACACGA